TGTAAATAGTTGCAATACTGGAAATGCTAGTTGGCGAAGCCTATATGGCACAATAAAGGGCACCAATATATTTTAAAAATCACAGTCTCAAATATAAACTGGGTGCAGTGCTGATAAATGATGACAGGATGTACTGCAGTTCTAATTAAAGATCTTAGAGTACAGACTGACACATAGGATGTCATGATCTAGGCGAGTTGCAATAAACACAATCACACAATTAAACATTAGTCCCATAACAGAGGTCATCAATATCAAAATCGGGACGTGTCACTACTGGTGGAACATGTCGACATTGCTTATTTGATCCTGATGACCTCCATATGGGACGAGATGTGTAATCTATATTGTTACATGAATGCACTATTAGATTAAGATGACCATATTTCGCAGGTCCCAGAATCGTTTAACTATGTATTCCATATATTCCTGTTATCATAAGCGCTGCACCCCATTTTAATTTTAGGCACTATATTTATCCTTGCATAAAACTAATATTCCACCAAAAATGGTTGTGTTTTTATTGTTTGTTCAATATAATACTTAAACACAATACAATCATATATAAACTATATATACTATATATAGCTTGCACTGTTACAAACTGGGTTACTATTTGCCACAAAACATACAGTCAGGTCGCCATAATATTGGGACATCGTACAACAATTCTAACATTTCTTCTGGCTTCTATACATCCGACCACAATATGGATTTGAAATGAAACGAACAAGATGTTGCTTTAACTGCAGACTGTCACTTTAATTTGAGGGTATTTTACAATCCAAATCAGTGAATCGGTGTAGGAATTACAACATATTTGCATATGTGCCTCCCACGTTTTAAGGGACCAAAAGTAATGGGACAGAATAATAATCATAAATCAAACTTTCACTTTTAATACTTGGTTGCAAATACCCTTTGCAGCTCAATTCCAGCCTGAAGTCTCTGGAACGCATAACATCACCAGAAGACGCTGGTTTCATCCCTGGTAATGCTCTGCCAGGCCTCTACTGCAAACTGTCTTCAGTTCTTTGCTTGTTTCTTGGGGCCATTTTCCCTTCATTTTTGTGTCTCAGTCAAGTGAATTGCATGCATCAATCCACGGATTTCAGTCAGGTGAATTGAGACTTGGCCATTGGCATAAAATTCCACTTCTTTTATCCGTTAAAAAACATCAAACACAGTTGGTTGCTTGCAGTAATCTTTGGGTCATTTGTCCATCTGCACTGTGAAATGCGGCGTCCAATGAGTTCTGAAGCATTTGGCTGAATATGACGCCCAGATAATATTGCCCGAAAGGACACTTCAGAATTTCATCCTGCTGCTTATTGTCAGCAGCTGCAACAACCATCCAACAAAATACAAGAGAAACCAGTTCCATTTGGCAGCCATACATCCCACTAAAAAGCCATGACACTACCCCCACCATGCTTTCACTGATGAGGTGGTATGCATAGGAAGATCATGAGCAGTTCCTTTTCCTTCTCCATACACATCTTCTCTTCCCATACACTCCTCTGTTACGATCAGTTGATCTTTGACCTCATCTGTCCACTAAGGATGTTGTATCCAGATCCATGAATGACATTTTTTAGATGTCGTTTGGCAAACTCTAACACTGGACCTTACCTGTTTTCGCGAAGGCTCACCAATGGTTTACATCTTGTGGTGAACCCTCTGTATTTACTCTGGTGAAGTCTTCTCTTTGATTGTTGACTTATGACACACATACACCTATACCATCCTAGGAGAGTGTTCTTGATCTGGCCAACTGTTGTGAAGGGTGTTTTCTTCACCAGGGTTAAGAATTCTTTGGTCATCCACCACAGTTGTTTTCCCCGTCTTCCGGTCTTTTGTTGTTGCTGAGACTCACCAGTGCATTCCTTCTTTTTAAGAATGTTCCAAATAGTTGTTTTGGCACCTTGCCAGGTAATGTTTTTTGGCTATCTCTCCTGAGGGTTTTGTTTTGTTTTTTTTTCCGCCTAATTATGGCTTGCTTCACTGATAGTGACAGCTCTTTGGATCTCATCTTGAGAGTTGATGAGCACACAGATTCCAAATGCAAATGGCACACTTGAAATGAACTTTGGACCTTTTATCTGCTCATTTGTAATTGGATAATGAGGAATAACGCACACCTGGCCCACAGCTGAGAACCAATTGTCCCATTACTTTTTGTCCCTTAAGAAGTGGGAGGCACATATGCAAACTGTTGCAATTCCTACACGCCCACAACCCGTTCACCTGATTTGGATGTGAGCTTTATATTAGTCAGAACACTGTACCTTTAATTTAAATGCCCTTGGAGTCTGCTGGGGAAGAGAAATAATACTGACAGTTCAGTATGACATGCAGATGAGTGCCGTCGATCTTAGAATCACCGCACACTTCACTCATTTGGGCAGTCACGGGGCCAAAACCAGAGTGTGGAGCCACAGTGTGGCGTGGAGGCAGCACAATGGGAGGCCATACAGCACCCTATGACAAAAATGGAAACCACCAGCAGTGTGTGAGGAGACCTGAAAGTGGCACATGGCAGAGTGTGGCGATGGAGACAGCAGCAATGGGAGGCCCGTACAGGGACCCATGACACACTCTGGACCTGGCAGCAGCATGAGGAGGCGAGTACAGGGGCCCATGGACAATTACGGGCCTGGCAGCAGCATGAGGAGTCGGTACGGGGGCCCATGGCAGATTAGGGGCCTGGCAGCAGCTATGGGAGGCCCGTAATCTGCCAGCACCCTATGACAAAAATGGAACACACCAGCAGTGTGAGGAGACCTGAAAGTGGCACATGGCAGAGTGTGGCGATGGAGACAGCAGCAATGGGAGGCCGTACAGGGACCCATGAGAGACTCTGGACTTGGCAGCAGCATGAGGAGGCGGTATAGGGGCCCATGGCAGATTAGGGGCCTGGCAGCAGCTATGGGAGGCCCGTAATCTGCCAGCACCCTATGACAAAAAATGGAACACACCAGCAGTGTGAGGAGACCTGAAAGTGGCACATGTTTGGGGCATGATTCATGGCGGATTTAGTCAGTTGTGTCAGGAACTGGTGGTTTGAAATCCAGACTAATCCACGCCTGATTCATTTTCACAAACGTGAGTCTCTCCACACTTTGGGTGGCCCAGTCGTGTCCTCCGCGGAGTTGCAATACCTCCTGCCGCACTAAACACGCGCTCCGATGCCACGCTACTGGCCGGGCATGACAGCCTTTCAAGGGCAAATTCAGCTAGTTGGGGCCAAAGGTCAAGTTTCGTTGCCCAGTAGTCAAGGGGATTGTCTACCTCGGTTGGCAGGGTGCTGTCCAAGTAGGCCTAAGCCTGTTGTTTGAGGTCCTGCTCCAGGTCCACCTGATGCTGCTGCTGCTGCTGCGGCTGGTTAGTAGTTTCCTCACTGCGCTGGTGAAGAAAGCTACTCATCATCGACTGCAGACTGAGGCAGCCTGCTGCTGGTGGAGCTGCCACTGCTCCTACCACCCCACCCCTCCCCTGCTGCCATGGCAGCGGAACGCGACGCACAGGGCCCACAGTGTCTGAGGATGGACGTTGGCGCAGACAGGCAGAGACCAGCTGACTACATAGGTGGTTTTTATAGTACGTTATTTTGGCCTCCCTCTCAGCAGGTGTGAAAAACCACCATTTTTGAACGGTAGCGAGGGTCCAACAAGGTGGACAGCCAAAAGTCATCCCTCTGTCTGATGGTTATTATTCGGCTGTCGTACGCAAGCAAGCGAGCATGCTATGGGCCATTTGTGCCAAGGAATGCGAGGGACTCCCTGCCTCCATCTCCACAGCATACTGCCACGGTGCGTCTGGGTCCTCTGTCTCCTCTTCCTCCTCCTCTACCAATGCTCCTGCTCCTCCACTCCTGTCCGCTGAGTGGAAAAACCACCCATTTCACTCAATAATTCCTGAGCACCAATGTCCTCCTCTACCTCCTCCTCTTCTTCCTGTCCTGCCCCCACAGGGGTCATGTGGCGTTGAGATCTGTGCGCCACGTCTACCGCACCCTGACCAGCCATTGTTAACAGCATTTGTTCCAGGACGTGCAACAGAGGAATGACGTCGTTCATCCCATAGTCCTGCCGACTCACGAATAGCGTGGCCTCCTCAAAGGGCCTGAGCAAGCGCAGGTGTCACGCATGAGCTGCCAATGGCTGACATCTAAGTTACACAGGGAGTACCTTTATATCCGCTTTTAACATCAGGAAATCTGTGATGGCCTTTTGCTGTTCGTAAAAGGCGGTCTAACATATGTAGGGTTGAATTCCACCTTGTTGCAACGTCACAGCATGAGGAGTCGGTACGGGGGCCCATGGCAGATTACGGGCCTGGCAGCAGCAATGGGAGGCCCGTAATCTGCCAGCACCCTATGTCAAAAAATGGAACACACCAGCAGTGTGAGGAGACCTGAAAGTGGCACATGGCAGAGTGTGGCGATGGAGACAGCAGCAATGGGAGGCCGTACAGGGACCCATGAGAGACTCTGGACCTGGCAGCAGCATGAGGAGGCGGTATAGGGGCCCATGGCAGATTAGGGGCCTGGCAGCAGCTATGGGAGGCCCGTAATCTGCCAGCACCCTATGTCAAAAAATTGAACACACCAGCAGTGTGTGAGGAGACCTGAAAGTGGCACATGGCAGAGTGTGGCGATGGAGACAGCAGCAATGGGAGGCCGTACAGGGACCCATGAGAGACTCTGGACCTGGCAGCAGCATGAGGAGGCGGTACAGGGGCCCATGGCAGATTAGGGGCCTGGCAGCAGCTATGGGAGGCCCGTAATCTGCCAGCACCCTATGACAAAAAATGGAACACACCAGCAGTGTGAGGAGACCTGAAAGTGGCACATGGCAGAGTGTGGCATGGAGACAGCAGCAATGGGAGGCCGTACAGGGTGGACCTGGCAGCAGCATGAGGAGGCGGTACAGGGGCCCATGGCAGAATTAGGGGCCTGGCAGCAGCTATGGGAGGCCCGTAATCTGCCAGCACCCTATGTCAAAAAATTGAACACACCAGCAGTGTGTGAGGAGACCTGAAAGTGGCACATGGCAGAGTGTGGCGATGGAGACAGCAGCAATGGGAGGCCGTACAGGGACCCATGACAGAGACTCTGGACCTGGCAGCAGCATGAGGAGGCGGTATACAGGGGCCCATGGCAGATTAGGGGCCTGGCAGCAGCTATGGGAGGCCCGTAATCTGCCAGCACCCTATGTCAAAAAATTGAACACACCAGCAGTGTGAGGAGACCTGAAAGTGGCACATGGCAGTGTGGCGATGGAGACAGACAGCAATGGGAGGTGGAGACTCTGGACCTGGCAGCAGCATGAGGAGGCGGTACAGGGGCCCATGGCAGATTAGGGGCCTGGCAGCAGCTATGGGAGGCCCGTAATCTGCCAGCACCCTATGACAAAAAATGGAACACACCAGCAGTGTGAGGAGACCTGAAAGTGGCACATGGATTTGGGCATGATTCATGGCGGATTTAGTCAGTTGTGTCAGGAACTGGGTTTGAAATCCAGACTAATCCACGCCTGATTCATTTTCACAAACGTGAGTCTCTCCACACTTTGGGTGGACAGTCGGTCCTCCTCCGGCAGAGTTACAATACCTCCTGCCGCACTAAACACCGCGCTCCGATGCCACGCTACTGGCCGGGCATGACAGCCTTTCAAGGGCAAATTCAGCTAGTTGGGCAGCAAGGTCAAGTTTCGTTGCCCAGTAGTCAAGGGGATTGTCTACCTCGGTTGGCAGGGTGCTGTCCAAGTAGGCCCAAGCCTGTTGTTTGAGGTCCTGCTCCAGGTCCACCTGATGCTGCTGCTGCTGCGGCGGCTGGTTAGTAGTTTCCTCACTGCGCTGGTGAAGAAAGCTACTCATCATCGACTGCAGACTGAGGCAGCCGCTGCTGGTGGAGCTGCCACTGCTCCTACCACCCCCCACCCCTCCCCTGCTGCCATGGCAGCGGAACGCGAGCGCACAGGGCCCACAGTGTCTGAGGATGGACGTTGGCGCACAAAGGCAGAGACCAACTGACTACATAGGTGGTTTTTATAGTACGTTATTTTGGCCTCCCTCTCAGCAGGTGTGAAAAAGGCCACCATTTTTGAACGGTAGCGAGGGTCCAACAAGGTGGACAGCCAAAAGTCACCCTCTGTCTGATGGTTATTATTCGGCTGTCGCTACGCAAGCAACCGAGCATGCTATGGGCCATTTGTGCCAAGGAATGCGAGGGACTCCCTGCCTCCATCTCCACAGCATACTGCCACGGTGCGTCTGGGTCCTCTGTCTCCCTCCTCCTCCTCCTCTACCAGATGCTCCTGCTCCTCCACTCCTGTCCGCTGAGTGGAAAAACCACCCATTTCACTCAATAATTCCTGAGAGACCACAAATGTCCTCCTCTACCTCCTCCTCTTCTTCCTGTCCTGCCCCCACAGGGGTCATGTGGCGTTGAGATCTGTGCGCCACGTCTACCGCACCCTGACCCAGCCATTGTTAACAGCATTTGTTCCAGGACGTGCAACAGAGGAATGACGTCGTTCATCCCATAGTCCTGCCGACTCACAAATAGCGTGCCTCCTCAAAGGGCCATGAGCAAGCGGCAGGTGTCACGCATGAGCTGCCAATGGCTGACATCGAAGTTACACAGGGAGTACCTACCTTATCCGCTTTGTAACATCAGGAAATCGGTGATGGCCTTTCGCTGTTCGTAAAGGCGGGTCTAACATGTGTAGGGTTGAATTCCACCTTGTTTGCAACGTCGCAGATCAGGCGATGTGTGGAATTCCGTTTCTGCCGCTGCAGCTCAAGGAGGGTGCGGTTTGCTGAAATGCATGGTTTACCTGTAAAGGAATGGCTGAAATGCATGCAAAGTTTACGTGGACACCTTTTACAGATGTTTTTTGGCACCTTGCAGTGGGATCTGTGGATTTTAGGAACCGCTGTAGACACCAGCCAGCAGCATGAACACGTGAGCCATGCATGGCGCATGGCACAATACCTTCCTTGACGCAGAGCAGAGACACACCAATGTTCTTTCCGTTGTCGGGTCACCCATGGTTTCCGATTTTCCAGTTTGGAAGCGGGGAGACAGCCATCTGTCGATTTGGCTCAGTAACATGTGCATACACTGTAAAGAAGCCCACGGACATCTCTTCCATCCCCTGGTGACTGACTATGAACTCTCCACCGCGGTGACACGCAGAGACCGACACAACAGCCTCATAAGGCTGAGTACCACTGTGCTAAAGGACCTGCAGCACCAGAGTGAACGTTCGTTGGCACCCTGGCAAAGGTGATTGGCCTGCGTCCAGCTGAAGAATGGGAGGCGTGAACGAGCGGAAGATGGCCAACTCACCCTCAGCAGTGGGAGTTGACTGGTGCCCCTCAGTTAACAACCGGGTGTGGAGCGGGGGGGGCAGTAAACCGCCGTATCTTTATCACGGTTTTCCCAGCGCCACCAAATGGCGACGCTGCATATGCTGCCGCAACGCTGTAGTCCCAACATGGGCCCCCTGGCCACGCTTGACTTTCTGGCCACATAGTCGACATACGGCTACGTTTACTTCCTCGGGCGGCTTGACAAAAAATTGCCACACCGCCGAGTAGGAAACTTTGCCCCCGATACTCCTCACTGGCTGACTGCTGCTTCCTCCGTGCACACCGGCACCACCACTACTGGCCGTGGTGGTAGGCTGCAGTGGAGCTGGTGCTCTACTCCGTGGCCGTTTGCCTCCACTGACACTGCTGCGACCCTGCTGCCTCCTGGGCAACCCACCGACTGTTTTGCTCGCTGCCAAGCTGCCACCCTCTTCTCCTGATGATGCGGAAGCAATAGCCTGATGACGACGAGGCTGCCAAGTGCGATCAGCCTCATCATCATCAATTAGGGTCTCCGCCTCACTACTAGCCCCCTCGGCTGCGTGTGGGTCAGGAGACAGACCTGTCTCTAGACCGGCTACCGAGCCACTCTCCTCGCCACTACTTCTTCGCCTGGCTGCTGAAGAGGCGGATGTCTCCCCCCCGTTCCTGACCGCCCTCTGTTAGCTCTTCCTCACTGTACAGTGGGGCTGAGCCCACAGCATGCGATACTTCGCTTGGTGAGGGAACACCAAAGGACAGGGGCAGGTAGAGGACACGTGATTTCAGTGGGCTTGCTCCCGGGCCATGCCAACTAACAGTTGTGTCTGACGTACCCACCGACCGTTGGCTGTAGGTGTCAGAGGTGACCTGGGAAAGAGGAAGACGACCGAGCCAACCAATCGATGACGGCAGGGTTGTCGGTGGAGACACGACCGCTGGTTGACACCGGGAGCACTGGCCTCTGGCTGCGTTTAGTGCTGCCTCGACCCCTTCCTCTGCTGCCAACTTCTGCTCGCTCCTAAAACATTGCCTCCTCTGGCCCACTCCTCTGCATGTTGTCTGACATACTCTTTAATTAAACGATTCTGTGTCCCTGAGTAACAATTCTGTGTCTGTCCCTGAGTAACAATTCTGTTCTGCGTCTGTCCCCTGAGTAACAATTCTGTGTCCCTCAGTAACAAATCTGTGTCCCTCAGTAACAATTCTGTGTCTGTCCCTAAGTAACAATTCTGTGGCCCTAAGTAACGATTCTGTGGCCCTCAGTAACAAATCTGTGTCCCTCAGTAACAAATCTGTGTCCCTCAGTAACAATTCTGTGTCTGTCCCTAAGTAACAATTCTGTGGCCCTAAGTAACGTTTCTGTGGCCCTAAGTAACGTTTCTGTGGCCCTAAGTAACGTTTCTGTGGCCCTAAGTAACGTTTCTGTGGCCCTAAGTAACGTTTCTGTGGCCCTAAGTAACGTTTCTGTGGCCCTAAGTAACGTTTCTGTGGCCCTCAGTAACAATTCTGTGTCCCTCAATAACAATTCTGTGTCTGTCCCTAAGTAACGATTCTGTGGCCCTAAGTAACGATTCTGTGGCCCTAAGTAACGATTCTGTGGCCCTAAGTAACGATTCTGTGGCCCTCAGTAACGATTCTGTGGCCCTCAGTAACGATTCTGTGGCCCTCAGTAACGATTCTGTGGCCCTCAGTAACGATTCTGTGGCCCTCAGTAACAATTCTGTGTCTGTCCCTAAGTAACAATTCTGTGGCCCTAAGTAACATTTCTGTGGCCCTAAGTAACGATTCTGTGGCCCTCAGTAACGATTCTGTGGCCCTGAGTAAACAATTCTGTCTGTCCCTGAGTAACAATTCTGTGTCCCTAAGTAACGTTTCTGTGGCCCTAAGTAACGTTTCTGTGGCCCTAAGTAACGTTTCTGTGGCCCTAAGTAACGTTTCTGTGGCCCTCAGTAACGATTCTGTGGCCCTCAGTAACGATTCTGTGGCCCTCAGTAACAAATCTGTGTCCCTCACTAACAATTCTGTGTCTGTCCCTCACTAACAATTCTGTGGCCCTAAGTAACGTTTCTGTGGCCCTAAGTAACGTTTCTGTGGCCCTAAGTAACGTTTCTGTGGCCCTAAGTAACGTTTCTGTGGCCCTCAGTAACGATTTCTGTGGCCCTCAGTAACGATTCTGTGGCCCTCAGTAACGATTCTGTGGCCCTCAGTAACAAATCTGTGTCCCTCAGTAACAATTCTGTGTCTGTGTCCCCAAGTAACAATTCTGTGGCCCTAAGTAACGTTTCTGTGGCCCTCAGTAACAATTCTGTATCCCTCAGTAACAATTCTGTCTGTCCCTGAGTAACAATTCTGTGTCCCTAAGTAACGTTTCTGTGGCCCTAACTAACGTTTCTGTGGCCCTAACTAACGTTTCTGTGGCCCTAAGTAACGTTTCTGTGGCCCTAAGTAAACGTTTCTGTGGCCCTAAGTAACGTTTCTGTGGCCCTAAGTAACGTTTCTCTGTCCCTAACTCTCTCCCTGCATACAGCCAGGTCTGCCTCTGTTGAATGACTGGAGGCAAATGGAGAATTCTAAAATGGCCGCCATTTATAGCTCGACCATTACACTGTGCTGGCTGGCTGGCTGCTGATTGGCTAATGCGATCACATGTCATGAATGAATGCATTATGGGTCAGCGCGCCTTGTCTGCGCGCCTTCCCAGACATTCCCGCTCTGTCGCCGCACATGTCGCCGCCATTTTAGGAAAAATTTCGATTCGCGCATCCGAAGTCTGCTTATTTTCGGATTCGACGCAAATCGAAATTTTCCTAATATTCGAAACGAATTCCACTTCGCCTACTTCGATTCGCTCATCTCTACTGACTGTATAACTGTCGACTACATTCTAAAGCAACACAAAAAAAAGTGGAGTGGTCCATAAGTCCCTAACTCAGTAGGATTAGAATTTCCTATTGGAAAAGAAGTACACAGGTGGTGCAAACAGCTAGTGAATTATACAAGGTTTATTTGAAAAGAAAAAAA